CGTTGTACATTTGCTGTTATGTTAAACTTATATTAAAGTTTTTCTTCATTACCCATTCAAGCCATCTCCAGCCATTATTAGTCTCAAAGTGGGTTCCTCGTCATCGAAAATAAAGTTAGATTTGTTGTGTCATTTCACAGAGAATAAACTGCTCCATGTTTTTTTGCAGTGTTCTACTCGGGCAGTAATTAAAAACTCTTCTAACTATCAAAATAATATAATGCCATATTCCCACAAAGAAACCATTATATTTCGTAAACAAGTTATTCTACAAGTCACTCCCATAAAATAAAATAAAAATTGTATTTTGTAAGTTCAGTGGTACTGCAAATGACTCTAATGATTAAAACATCGCAATATTAGAAAATATTTTCATAAAAATAAAATGAACCAATTTCAGTTTTAGTGATTATATATACAATACTCTAAATAATCTTATCAAAAATTATTATATCTCCACTAGAATACTTGTATATATATATATATTTGTGCAATAACAGAAAGAAAGAACAATATAAAAATTATACTTTTTCAATTTCTAGAGCATTTCAACACATAGAATTTTATGTAAGATCTAAAAAAATGTTTTTAAAATGGGATGAATTGGTTAAAATTGAAGTACACATACAATAACCTGGCTGAACTTTTTAGTAAACGAATAAAAAACTGACAAAAAACATTCCAATACAGAATTTGACCCACTGTACCTGGTCTCGGTGTTCTAGTGCTTTCTTTACAGTAATGTCTAGGTTATTGTAGGCTTTCTCAGCTGCAAGATGCTAAAAGAAAGAACTAGTAAATTCTTGTCCAGCAAATGTGACATAAACCTAAATATCCTTAATGAATCACTTGAACAAGATACTAGTCAACTTATCACTTAATTTTATTACTTGTGCATTGAATTCATGTGACTCCAATCATTTAAACAAGGTAATTTTTCAGTTTTTTTTTAATAATTTAAATACATGTGTAAATATTAAAGATACTTGAGCTTTTAAATATGAAAATTTGTTCTAATAAATTTATTGTACTATATTCAACATTAGTGTAAAATGGTTTTTCATTTTGCAATAAAAATTACCTCAGACTAAACTTCTTGAATAAATTATAAGTACTCCAGTAGAAACTTAGAAATAAACAAAGCCCCCAAAAAATACATTGTGCCCTTACAATAACATCAAACTTGGCATAGATGTCCACCACTTTCTTCTGTTCATTAATGATTGGCAAAGCTGACACTCTCCTCTCTATGAACTGGTTGAGTACAGTAATCACAGGAGTATCTTCCTTTGCCTTGAAAAAAAAAATTCTATCTCATGTATTACAAAGTGTCAAACCTAAAACTCTTTTTGTCTTCAATAATTTAAAGTGATATAATTCATTAAATTGAATAACACAACTTTTTTTACAAACCTTATGTAAAGAAGGGTAAAAAATTACAAGGGTTAAAACCTACATAGAGCATGAAACAAATCTGATTACAATACCAATTCTATGTTACAAGAAACTTACTGTTGCTATGTCATCAAAAGTTCCCACTTGGAGTTCTTGCAAGGATTGGTTGAGGTAACTTGGTTTTGGAAGCTCAGAAAACTGAAATATATGTTAGAAAACTTCATTTGCAATAAACATTCTCTCCAACATGGTACTTGTTAGGACTAACATGATATCAACAGAAAAATATCATAATATTCTTATTACTATTAGACCTATGGGCTTGACGTAATTATTGCACTGCTCATTAGTCCACATCATCTTCACAAGAAGTTCCTCTTGTACAAAGAAGAATATAACAAGTAATGACCTTTACAAAAGTTACGAATATACTGTACTCAGGTTGTGTATTAGAATAATCTTTTATTTTTTTTTACTTGAAAGACTTGTATTAAAATAATATTTAATTTCTACTTTATACTAAAGCTGACTAATATGTTCAAGTTTTGCTTTTAGTCTTGTAATCCAACGTGATACTCTTTCTGATTAAAAAACGTTTATATTCTAACATTTATTTTCCATGGCTTACAGGAAAGGAACACTATCTGGTTTCACTATTAACAGAATTTAGGTAAAGAGTCAGACAAGTACTAGCAAAAGCAAACTGTAGTTAGAGCTCAAATATTTGCTTTCATTATATGCGTATGTTCCACATTAGATAATAATTTTTTATTTGATTACTGTGTGTGTGTGTGTGTGTGTGTGTGTGTGTGTGTGTGTGTATTTCATATTACCTAGCATTACACAAAATTTTTAATACTTAACAACTGAATGATAGTAAATGTAAATGAGTGAATACTGTATTTACTTACATACAGAAAGAGGAACTTAAGAATCCTCTTGTGGGTCAGGATGAACAATGCATTTCCAGTTTGAGGGTCAATCACTGGGAGTCGATGAATCTTTCCATGAATCAACTGCTTGATAGCTTCATACAAACTGAAAATTAAAGTAAAGGAAATGTTGTTAATGTTTATGAAGTTATGGCCACACACTATTTTTTTCACATGTACTTTATGTTAAGTATACCTATAACATTTAGTTCTCACAGTAAAAGGTATGTTTGACAAAACTTAATAATGGATTAAAAAAAAAACTCATGAAAACCTTTTGAAGAATTATTTAAACACTGAATTTTGACTAAAAGATGACAAAATGTCTGGGAATATTGTATGTTATATTTAAAAATATGACCAGTGTTGTCAAGTTTCATGAAATGGTGGCTATTATAAAACTATTAAAGATAGTGATAATTTATATCAATTTGAATGTGTATTGTGTAACAAACCTTGCATCTGGTCCAATGCTAACAAATGGCTTTACCTTCTCTTTGAGGACATCTAAGAAAATAAAAATCATAAGCTTTTCCAAAAACATTCAGACACTATAAAAAACATTCACTCAAATACATAGATATATTTCTATAATATTAGCTATATGTTCTACAGTTCAAATATATATATATATATATATATATATATATATGTGTGTGTGTGTGTGTGTGTGTGTGTGTGTGTGTGTGTGTGTGTGTGTGTGTGTACATAAAATAAGCATTAAAAAGAGTTTAGTAAAAAATCCACTGTCAATCCTAGTTGTTACCTTAAAGTCATAATGGATACTACTTGTGGTAATAGCTCCCAAATGCATTGGGAATACCCCATCTACCAGACAAAACCCAAATGCTGATGATAAACTGGCCAGCAAGATAAGTTAAACTATGGCCATTGGTTCTTCAATGCTCGTGTTTTTTCAATCATTTATAGCCTCTATCATCTTTCCTAACTAGTCCAACAGGATGTAAATGCTATAGTTTCAACATATGATTCACACATAAAATTAAGAAGTCTGATGAAAAACATGAAACTTGGATGATAACTTGTATCAGAGAAAAAAATGCATAGTTATAACTCCCAAAATTAGTCCTTTCTGGCTATGATCAATTTCTTTATACAAGACTCAGTTTCCAAATCATTTATTAAACCATTTTCACATATTAAATGACAAATGATTAATAGCTAAGCAACTAACCATGGATGAGATCAGAATCACTTAGCAAAACACCGAACATCATCACTGTAATATATGAATTTAACGTTGTTTTTTTTATTAATTACTTATTAACTCTCAAGCTATGCATTTCATCCTTTGAACACGAAGTAATCACTGGAAAAATTCAGAAAGTTTTCATACATAGAAATGACAAATCCCCCTTGGATGTTGACCAGAGTTCATAACTGTATTTTTTGCTTGTGTACAAAATGGCAGCTTTATTAACAGTCACAGATTTGGAGTTCTTTCTGACCATTAGTGGTCTCCTAAAGGACATTTTCAGTCCTGGGCTATAAACAAGTTGAGCTTTCAAAAACCCTACCTAGTCAAGTTATTCACTAATTTTTTGAATCTGAAAATGCCTCTAAACTTTAATAGTATCACAGTTGTTATCCAAAAATGAAAGATCTAATATTGGTTAACTTAGAACTTCTGAACGATTTTTCAGAGGAAAACAAATAATACAAATAATTACTCATATTTCAAAAACAAAACTACAAAAAGTAAGGATGTTTTCACTTACTTTAGTAAACATGTAATGATTAGTTTTGCTTTTCACACCTTCTCTATTAAGCATAGCATGTTAACAAATTAGTTTCAGATTGTATAAATGAAAACTAACTAGCCCTATATCAAAAACATTTTAAATTTTATTTATTTTAACCTGTATTGCACTACTTCCTATTTAAGAAAGTCTACCATTATGTGTGAAGATTCTGTTATTTATATATATATATAAGATAGGTGGAAATGACCAAAAACAGTTTCTTAATAAAAATCATATTTAGCAGAAACTGATAATAAGCACTTAGTTGGGGCATAATATTTTTTTATATTTAAGTTCTACGCATGGTATCATCACTGTTATATAACATAAAATCTGTTCTGCTGAGTATTTTACTTTTTATATTAAAGTATAGGCTGACAACAATACAATACCCACTTCTCCATGTCTCTAGTTTGTGCTCTTCTAATTCCTCCATTCTTACCTGTTAAACATTGGAATTAAAGTTAAAATCTCAAGCCAAACTTTAAATGTGACAAAAATGAAAATGTATACTGCAACTGATTTAATTTGAAAATAAATTACTATTATTTTAAAAGCTAAAGTAATTACAATCACACAAGTTTACATCTTTTTTTTTTCATTTCTATTTATGAAATAATATTTTTGTTAATGCACAACTTGAAGCTAATTTTGATATGTGGTTATATAGGAAACAAATTAATTTTTTTTGCAGTGTGGAATTGAGTTATTATTTCTTTCTTATGATGCAGACATCTGTCGGCTCATAATCATTACACATATATTACTATACATACATATAGCTTCTACTAATAACACATTACAAACTTCCTACTTACATTTTGTGCAATCATCTTGTATATGTTTCAACTACAGTGTATGATGTAACTCAATGGTTACATGACATTGGATGTGCAAGGTGTTTATTGTTGACTGGTTTGTTAATTACTGTAGGCATGTGAAACAGATGTATGCTGAGCTACAGTATATAAATACTTCACTTCATTACAAAGTTAGCAAAATAGTTTCCTGTTAGTACTTCTTATAGAGGCAATGTTAGATAGGTGGCAATCTACTGGTGCCTGATTGGATTTGCCACTCAGCATGTAAATATCACTTACCCAGTATTTATGAATTGTCTTGGTAAGTTGTCTTTATGTGTTAATAAACAGTTTCCAGGATTACTTCATGTGCCTTTATTGAGCTATTTGAGGCTATTGTAAGCAATCCAGTTGCAATGTTACAGAACAAGATCATCACATACATCCAAGATTTTTTTTTTAACACTAAGAAAAAATAACCAACTGGTGACATCTAATCAGAGTTACTGTGAACTTAAAGTAAAAAAAAATAACCAAGCACTCACCAAAGGAGACTTGTAGTAAGTCCTGAGAATGTGGATAAAGTCTGTGATGGTTAATATACCTAAAAAGAAATAAAAAAATTCAATGGAACTCGGTAGTACAATCTGAGAAAGAACTGCAAGCTTCATATTCAATGACTTAGCAGCTGACAATTGCACACTATTTCATTTTTGAGTTTTCACCCCTTACTAGCAGAATGCACATGTTTACATGAAATGTAGACAATTCTAATTACTCAAGTTGATCCAAAGCTTTTGGGATTAAACCTTTCATCCAATATAAGAAAATAACTAGTTTGGAGAATATAACAAACAATACTACGACATTATAATCTTGCTAAATTCATTGATATATAGACAGATGAATTTCTTAAAAAGAACTTGCAAGTTTAAATTAAAAGTTATAATTACCAAACATTCTCCCAGGTGAAAAAACAAATTAAAAGCTATTCCTCATTAAAAAAAAAGTAGATCGAAAGTGTATAATATTCAAAGTAATTGTAAATAATATATACTAAACTGAATACATCAATATAAACAGCTTTATAATTATGAATAATAATATCACATTAGACTTCAGAATGGATTTTTGTTTATTTTTCATTGTAATTTAATAGCACTCATAAATAAATACACATTAAAAATACCTTTTTTTGGGGGGGGGGACTGAACAATCCAATACCTAAACATAGCTGTAACTATTTCGTTTTTTTATACAATTAATTAAAGGGCATGTACCTTAAAACATATTGTTCCATCTGAACTATTTTTTTCCACATTTACATAACCAAAGTTCCCTATTTACACCACATCTCTCCTTGTTTGGAACAATCAGGTGGCAGATGAAGTTGAGAAAATTGTTTCCAATAAAATTCCGGAATACAACCAGATTTCCAATAAATCTCCTGTTTTGTTACACCCAGATTCATTAAAACATGCTTTCCTCTTAAATGGTTTAGAAACTAATATTTTTGTCAAGCACAATAAAAAATTGAATGAAGAAACAAAACTGCTGTAGTTATTTCTATTTACATAGTTTGCTCATTATGCCCAAGATATACACACTTGTTAAGCTTCTCCAAAAATCAAAATGACCAATGTTTTGCTTTATCCTAAACATCATGCATCTCTATAACAGGTCTGCAAATTTTCATTCATCAGCTTTGTCTACCTTGAATTCTAGAGCCATATGCAGGTTTCCAGAAAATTAAAAATTTTTCGGTATCCCAATAATTGTCCAGCAATAAAAGAAAATATTAGTGCAAATATGCTTTTTTTTAGTAGTTTGAATGCAAAGAGGAATGTTCAGTAAAGATAATTTTGCAAAGTTGATCATCTGCTTTAAAATTGGTTTCAAAATTACCTGTATTTCACTGATAAGGGAAGCAAATCTAAACAGTATGCTCTTGCAATGCAAGCAGCCATAGCCAGTGGATCCTTACTTCATCTCTTGTAAACTTTATTACATACACTAATCCTCGTGATAATGGCATGAATAAATTACTTCAATCTACTTTTACTTAACTGAGGCAGTTACCTACTTCTTTTTACTCATAAGTAAATATATTTCTTGAAAGCATGCCACATCAGCAGTAAATGAAAAAGAAAACTGATTAATTAAAATAAAAATATTGGGTATCACTGTTGCTTTTGAATCTGTCTCACACATTTTTAACCCTAAAGGTAACACACTTTCCAAACCCTTGTAATATCTTGATAATGTGTGCAATATTATTAATATACTGATCTGCATATTACTTCCTTATATGTGTTGCTTCCCTTTAAAGGTCCGGTTAAGCAATAATGATTACAGTATAAGTGTCTTGGGTTGATGTAACACGCAAAAATATGTGAAATCCGTTTAAAAATGCTTTTGTGCTTTAGCTCAACATTAGGTGATATCATACAAACACAGCAAAATAAAGCAACTTGGCATTACTCAGTTTAAATTCTGTTTGGTTCCTCATTCACTTAAGAATCATCACAGAGTTACACTGAACAAAATGAGATGAAGTAAATTGGAAGCTAAGCTGAATGTAAACTCAGTTTTAGAGCACGTGAATAAAGTGAGTTAAAGCAAGATTTTGTCGTTGTTTTTTTTTGCTGAAGCATTTTTGGATGTAAATATATATTACATTTAGTCCTATCTATGGGATTTTCATGTTTATTTTCTAAATATTCTATTATACTAGCCACTGATCCTATAAAAGATTTAATCAATCAGATTGCAGTACTTAGTGATCATTCATAGCTTACATGCATCTCTGTTTTATATAAATCAGATTGCAGTACTTAGTGATCATTCATAGCTTACATGCATCTCTGTTTTATATAAATCAGATTGCAGTACTTAGTGATCATTCATAGCTTACACGCATCTCTGTTTTATATAAATCAGATTGCAGTACTTAGTGATCATTCATAGCTTACATGCATCTCTGTTTTATATAAAAACTTCCACTACTTTCCACAAATATAGCTTGTCTCTTGTTTGTTTTTTTTTGCAGCCAGCATAGCAAACATTAAAATGACTGGTTGAATTAATGATTTTCAAAAGCTTATTATTAATATTTTCAACATGTTTTTAAGTATTCATGAGATGTATTTCGTTGAGAAGAGCATATCCAAGTTTTTCTGTAAAGATTAATCAAATAAAAACAAACAACTCTCTTTTTGTTTATTTTTTAAAGACTTCATTTATTGTTGTTGTAACATTTTCCATCTGCTGCTATCACAGAACCTAGGTAAATATTTTAAGTATTGAATATTTAATGGGTCTAATTTCATTTGAGCTTTATGTTGATCACTTCCATTTATTACCATGAACTTAGTTTTCTTTTGATTTAAAACTATTTTAAATTCCTTACATAAATTAAATACAAATTTTAATTTATCTTCTGCTGCTCATCCATTAACAATAGAATATGTAGTTTTTGAAGGGAACTGTTATATTTAAAAGGAATATTTTGATTTATATTTTATAGGATTAATATGAGACCCGGCACCACGAAAAACTCGGCCCTGATATGGCCATGCTTATATTTTATTATTATTACTGATTTAACAACTGACAACTTTTACGCTTTCTATTGTAGTTAATATGCATCGTATGTACGGTGTATGAGGGTAATGGATCACAAAGATGACAAATATGGCATGTTTCTTTCTTTCATTTTTTGTGTTCATCACATACTCTACCAGCTACTACTGTTTCCATACTTCCTGGTATCTGATTGAAAACCTCAAAGTTGTATTGAAATCAACTCAACTAATGTAGCTAAACTATTTACTAATAATTACTATTGCACTTTAAGTGCTTTTTCGATTATATACGTTTCATAATTATTTTCGGCTAAATTTTAGTAAAATATCCTACTTTTTCGTGGTAGCGGGTCATAAGTTGTTAAAAGGAAAATGATACTAGGCCCACCTGTCGTATACCTTGTTTTATGTTAACATATTAATTTCATAATGTGCCACTGGCTATTTGATACATTTTAAAAATTATTCTAAATATTCTATGTCTACATTTCACTGACTTACATGGTCTTTGTAAAATATTTCTAGGCATACTGAATCATAGACTTCTTCAAAATCAATAAAACAGAAATACAAATATTTCTATGTTAGAAACTTTCTATTTTTTGACAGTATTACATGTAATTTCCTGTTTACTCTGATTCAGTTCGAGGTACATGCTGACCCCATAGTTCTTATATAAATGTAATGAATCTCTCAACTTAACTAACTTAAGAAGAAAAAGTTCCATTTCTGTGAATTAGATTATACTGGCTAATGTTGATACTTGAAGCTCTATGTCTTCCCAATTTTTATCTATAGCATGATCTGGGAGAGTTGACCACAGTCACTATATATGGTATCTAATTATCTCATCTTATTTAGAATTGCTTCAGACTTTTTTTTGTGGTTAAGAGCTCTCAACAGTAAAAATGTTTTTTTCATCTTGTGCACTTGTCCAACTTGTACATTTATTTTATAATTAAGATTAAAAAACGTATATTAAGCACACTGTTCTACTTTGGTCTAGTCTCTCTCCTTCAACTCAACCAGGTTAGAAATTCAGTCTGTAGCATTTATTCTGCCAGACATTTTGTTAGAATGGTTACTATCCTTACCTGAATGTCATCAGTGTACTTGGGAATACCATACAGTTGTCATCTAAATTCTTTATAATGAAAAATATTTACCTATATATTCTTGATTAATGCTGTCCCAGAGTGGTGCAGCTCTGACTCCTAGAAATAAAGAAAAGCTCATAATTTTTTTATGGCCATCATAAGCATTTGGTATAACTTGTAAATATGACATAACACCCATTTTAAATTTTACTTACATTTTTTATAAAAGCAATCATTGGGTAGATTTGAGAACTTCAGTGGATTGCATTGTCTGTTGAATGAAAAGGAAATGATGTTTCAGACTTGAAGAAGGCCTCAGCATAGAAGTCGAAATGTCATGCTCTTTTCTTTTAACAGGCAGTGCAATCCGTTAAAGTTCTCAAATTTACTATGCCTACTTTGCCTAAAGTTCCACTGAAGGAATGGCTAAGTTTTGAATCATATTACTCTGGTTATAGTATAAGATAACATTAATATATATTAAACATTTTAATACTAAGTACGAGTGTAACCTAAGAGTCACAAAATATTTAGAATTTTATGACATATTTTTTATACTATTGTATTCCAATTGATCTGATACATAGAAAACTTTAAATTTTATGTTTACCTCCCACAAGTCTAGCAGTTGTTCACTGTACTATATAAAATTCTAACTACTGAAGGAATGGAAGTCTTTTTTTTTTTTTTTTTTTTTTTTTTACTACACACACACACACACACATCAGTAATGTAAAAAATTTTTCATTAAATGTTCAATAAAAATTTAAAACACAAAGTTTAAGTTACTACACCACAATTTCAGTGATGTTAATATTCTGTTCTGAATGCATAACAGCCTAAAATTAAGTTGCTTTTCACAGCTAAGCCTTTATGGCAGTTAAAACAGTTTGTATTTTTTTTCATTCATCCTAAATCAAAATAATAATAAACAAATATTCACTATCAACTTCCAGAATTTTTAACAGGTTAAGAAATTAATATGAGAAGAAGTCAGGTTGTAACCAAAATATTCCATATAACTAGTGGCTAAAATTCCAGACTCAGATCAGTTCTAACACTACAATTTTATTGTGTCTTGCATTACTTTGAATATTTTCAATGCTTAATTATGGATAGATAATTTGTTAAGTTGATTGAACTGTTTTAACAGTACTTGTCAATTTTCAATTACATTGGAGTAATTTACAATACAAATTTTAAAATATGATTCAAACACCCACAGATAAATGTTTTTTTAATGATGAAATTTTACTTTCAAATATATATGAAATATATTAGAACTATGAGTAAATAATTATAAAACTGTTATATTGCATCAATACAAACTTAAATATTTTAGACAAATCTTTTAAAGTAAAGATAGTGAAAAATTGTGCAATATTTTTCTTATAATCAGTGTTTTACAACTGACAAATATATTAAAAATAATCTTCCAAAATTTGCAATTATTATATTTATGACTTAAACTTACCATTGTCCACAAGAGCAAAAAAAGCTTTTTTAACCTATAAAAAATATAAAAATATTGTATTATTCAAGGACTCAAGTAAGGTAAACTACAACATATGGTTCTAAATTTCTTTATTAAGAATTATAAAATACAAAGATTTAATTTGCATGGAAGTAACCTTCGAACAAAATTAAATCATATAAAGAGTATACTTAATCATTGAAAGTTACAATCATTCAAATCTTAGTAAGACTGGTTTTAGCATTATGCAAAACATACAAGTGTAGTAGGAGCACAACCATTCATGGGATACCTATCTGATACAGCCATGCATGTATATAATGCCCCTATTGGCATAGTACTTGGTTCAAACCTTTTTTGAAAGCAATAGTTATGATCTACATTCCCAAATTAAATGAGGAAGTTGGCCAAGAAAAAATGTCAGACAATTTCTGTTTCGAAGAAGCCTTCAAGGACAAAAGATAGCCTTGCATATGTCTTTAAAGCTTAATTACAATTTGTATTGATTTATTTTAATTGATTATTTTACATTTTGTATTTTGCAAAGCAAAAATATTAGTTTCTGGAGTTTAAAATTCCAGCATGTTCAAATAATGTAGGGCTAAACCTCCTCTTAAAAAGTGTATCAACCTCTAAATTGGACAAGAGCATCAATGTATTTCAAATTGTTTGGTGCCACAATATAACATATGGTCACATACAACAATATACTTCAAGTTTCATATCATTATAACAACGTAGTGCTCCTCTGAAAGTATTGGCAGACATTTCAAACGAATTTTATAAGCTCATAATACCCCATACATTGCAAGTCAAGACTCAAGTGCCCTACCACCAGGCCATGCTAAACCTACAAGGATAATAGTGTTCACTTTATACAAATTGTATGAAAATACTCCAAGTCTGTCCAGCACACATACTATAACAGCCACTTCACAAGTAACAACTGTTACAGAGCATAAGGTTTATGTCATTCAGCAGAACATTTGTAAACTGTACAGTCTTGCCAACACTAGGTTAAAACATTTGAATAAAACTTACCAGTAACTGGGTGTCAAACACAACCAACTTGGCACTTATAGGAATGATATCATAGCAGCGAAAATGTTGGAAAAATTTCAAATATATCAGATCTTCATCTTCTTCTGTACACAAAATGAAACAACACATAGCTTCAAATATTTTGCAATAACAGTTTAATAGTGCTTTAAATACATGGTATATCACAGGAGCTAAGATTTGGGGAAGTTCTTCACACTTTATAAGTTTTCAAATTACTTTTTTACATATATATTTTCATATTATTATGCTCTCAAACCTTTTTCGTATTTACAAAATAAGGTATTCATGAGCCAGATAAAGTCTTATTTTACTAGTATATTAATTCATGAATAAGTTGTATAAATACAAATATATATATATGTTTTTTTTCTTTGCTTCTCTAAAAAAATTTTGTATAGAAATATTAAAAATGTTGATATACTTTGGTGACAGATTTTCTCGACGCCAACAACAGCA